AGGGATGCTGCTGCAGAGGGATGGGGCTTGGGGACTGGTGGGCATGGAGGGGATCCCCTCGGTCCAGGGGTGTGAAGAGGGAATTTCATATGGGTGTGGATGGAAAGGATGGAAAGTTTAGCATGTCAGGTAGAGAAATATCAAATACACGAACATTTCTAGCAGTAGCAAATCCACCACATCTTCAGGAAATTGTTCCTAATCAAAAAGGCTTAACTTCTCATTTGGTTGAGTTTTAGCTTCAAATCCCAGTCCTTACATCTTGCGTTACGCTGTGCTATGCAGCCAGGCTTGTTTCCTTTGGGTGAACTGGGAGGCCTGCTGCTGCCCGCCGCCTCCTCCTCCTCTTCCTCCTCCCCCCGAAAAGAGAGCGCTCCTGGCACCTTCGGTTACTGCCGGCTTTCTGACCCCTTAACTGCTCCTACCTGAATTTCCCACCATCATTATCCCTCGTTTAAACACAAGCACCAGGATTTGCCTATAGAGCAAATATTTCTTCCGCAGCCAGAGACAGCATTCGTCACGTCACAGCCAGCCAGGGCTCTGCAAATCCTCTGAAGGCAGAGATTAGAGATTTGACGTATCGAGTCAAAAGCTGGCTTGGATATAAATCCCAGGAAGGGGTTTTTTTCCTTGCTCTGAGAAACAGATTTGCAGAGGAGCTCAGTGCCCAAAGCTCCCCTTGTTCTCCCTGGGGATTTCGCAAAACCTCTGCGTACAGAGAGCTTGTCTAGTAACTTGACTTTACCAGAAATTCTTGGAGTCGCTCTTAGTGTAAAACTGGGAAGAAATGGAAATGGCAGTTGCCGTTCACAGGTTCTGGCAGTGATTTAAGGAAAGGAAGAAGCAGGTTTTACTGGTGTTTATTTTATTTCTGCTTTTATTTTGAGCCTGTAAAAATTGAAGGCGTGACACTGCCAGGAGTGGCTGGAACAGTGGATGTGGAGCAAGATAATCGTTTACCGAAACTGGACATACCAAATGCGATCCAACAGAAAGTCATTCCAGGTAAGAGAGAGGGAGGTTATGTGCCACACGAGTCCACCTCAGAAGAAATCGTGTCACACTTCTCCCCCATCGGGAAACCTCAGAGGTATTGGCCAGTCGCTCCAGCTCGTTTGAACACTTTGGGAAGGAAAGTGGGCCGGCTCCTCTCCATGCAAGGGTGTTTCTTTGGGATGCTGTCACCGCCGTGGATCTCACACTGAGGGACACGTGCCCACGGGCAGGTGGAAGGGATGCAGGAGCCACCTCAGTTCCCCCCAGCTGCGGGGCCAGGCTAGAAAATGCTCTAGAAAGCAAGGAGAGATGGGTCATGGGCTCTGCACCAACTCCAGCAGCTTGATGAGTTATCTGTTACTGTTGAGGTAGTTACTTCTCCCCTGGAAATAAGACGCTTTTCTGAATCATCAAATCAACACACAGTGGTGTATTGCACCGCCATAAATGTATAAAACTCTGTCTTACAAGGAGTTATACTCTGTAACTTCTCCACTTG